AAGAGTGGATGCAAGGCAATAGCTCTTTCTTGATCATCATCAGAAATATCAGATTTACATTAGTCTGCCAAAAGTCAGAGAAACAACTGACTGAACGAATGAGAAATATGAGAAGCATGGTAAAATAAAACAATATTGAGAATACTTTCTGAAGGCACAAGAACTTAAACATCATTCCGAATTCAGCATCTGGGCACAGTCATACATGCTTAGATAAAGCATTCAACAATCAGTGAAGCATAAATGCCATCCAGACTTCGATGCAACAGACTTTGCATCAGTGGCCATTTTCTTCTATAATTTATGCTACTGTTGTTGTTGATTTTCTTTTCTGTTGGTAGTGGTGCTAAGTGGGGTTAGTGTTTTATGCTTGGACACCAGTTATTGTGTACACTGCCCAGAGTCACCTGTATGACATGGGTGGTGTGGTAAGGTAAGGTAAGGTAAGGTAAGGTAAGGTAAGGTAAGGTAAGGTAAGGTAAGATAAGATAAGATAAGATAAGATAAGATAAGACAAGACAAGACAGGACGAGGTGAGGTGAGGTGAGGTGAAATGAGATGAGATAAGATACCTTTTATTGCCATTTTTTTACTGTGGGCACATTGGCACATATAAATCATATACATAAGTAAAAACAGAAATATGTATATCACTTGCACAATTTACATTGCTCATGTACTGATGACATACTCTTTGATTTATCAGATATTCATGAATAGTCCTTCACTAATTAATCTATTACAAGATTTCACTGAGTATCTTATCTTAGTAAAACTGTATTCAGCAAGTCTTACCTTAAGCATAGGGCTCCAGTTTCGTACTTCAACATTTGTATTTAAACTATGGTTCTGCAGGTAATGTTGAATTTTATTTCCCATAAATACTTTAAAGAAATGGGAAGGATGATCTAAAAACTTTTAAAAAGCCAATGTTTCTCTACACAAACAAATACATTTACCTGGAGAAAATCCCACTGAAGTCAGCAAAACATAGGTATGAGAAGACACTCACAAAATCCTCTGTTCCTTGCTGCTCAAGGCAGTCAATTTTCAATTTGCTATGGTTTTATTATTTGCAATCGACAAAGATTTGAATTTAATCTTTCACTCTCTTTTTCAAAAAACCCCACAAAAAATTCCAAAAACACAGACTGAAATCATTTGGCTCAATAAATGAGTCAGTTAACTGTTTCTATCATATTTAATCTATCTTAAAATAATTTTGTTCCCTATTTTATCCTAAAATGAAAGTAAGCATGCTTAGCTACATATAAAAAGAAACAAACAATGACAAGAGTAGCAGTATAAATCCTACAGAATAACTGTTCAAAAAACAGTTTTGAAATGCTTTTTTGGTAAAATATATGTAAGCATATGAGAGGGAAAGAGTATGCATAAATACTGGTTTGTTGTGCCAAAAAAGTTGATAGAAATCTAGCCAACTTTTTTTTAACTCAAAAGTCCAATTTTAGCTTTCCAAAACATATTTAGAACCTAAACAAGTGGTATGTGTTTTCCCCTCTCAATACCATTATGTACCATTGACGTCAGTGGGAAGTATATGACAATCAGGTTTTTTTTAATAACTAAGAGAACTAAATTGAACATCACCTTCTAAATTTCTGTTTCATGGAATTAAGAAAAACATTTCCTCTGAAGCTGTATCTTAATTTAAACACACATATACACAAAATAAAAACATCAAGGAAGTATTTTCAGCCACAATTCACAATCACCCAAGATATATCAAAAATTAAAATATTAGAACTTTCATTTAAATAGAAGAAATTGTTTGCATTTTCTTTTTTCAATGTTTTCCTAAGCTGGCCTTGTTAAAATATATTATAACCCTGCCTAAGATATAAAAGCTGCCATTCATCTTTAAAGCTTACCATATTTAAATAATTAATTTTTGCCTCCTAGTGGGCCATTTCAATTGAAAAAGGGGAAACTGTATGATAAAGCAAATCATCTCACATTAAGATGATTATATCCTCTCTTTCATTTCTTGGTGTACATTAAACATGTTCTCAAGGCATCAAACTTTATGTTTACTTTCTAGTTGTATGAGTTCCCAGTTTCTTTGTTTGGGCAAAAATGCCTATTCTCCTTCCCTTCCAACAATGAGCAATACATTTTTCAAACTAGAAAGCACCAAAGTATCTGATATCATATTAACTTATTTATATGTGATACAGTAATTTGCACAGTAGTTTAGCTGTTTGTTACTGACTCTTTTAGATAACATCTCATTAACAAAAATAATTTTATTATATAAAATGAAAGACAATTTGGCATAATTCCTCTTCCTCCCAAAAAATAATGGATAGGTCAATCTCAACAACTCTTTGAAAATGGAACATACCTATATTTTTCCATACAAAAGTAAGGCAGAATGAGGGAAATAACTAGGAACCATAAACTGCAAAGAAATCTTGGTATGTCAGTCTAGAAAAAGAAAACAAGTAAAACCCTTCTTCTCTTTAGGAGAATTCTGTGGCCATACAAATTTAATCAAAACTGGGGGGGGCAAAATCCTTGAAAAGAGAGGAAGAGGAGGAGAACGAAAAGAACAAGTAGTAATAGTAGTAAATTGCAATCGAAAATAAAGTTATTCTATATGGAAATAAACATTAGCTATCAGATAAGCGTTCTACACCATGTTCATATCATATGGTGTTTAATTTACAGACTGCTGAACAATATGGGACATTATGTTATGATTTGGAAAGGCAAATAGACCTTATAATCATACCTTTCACTACGTGTGTGTGTGTGTGTGTGTGTGTGTGTGTGTGTGTGTGTTATGTTGGTTTCTCTTAAACAGCTACATGGCAGAAACCTTGGATTCCTATTATCTGCCTTGCAACAGCTTGCTGTTTGCTGCCATTGCTTTCTATGCTTCCTAGAAGCAAGCAGAATCTTATCTTCCTATTCCTCCCTGCAATAATATAGCTCTGCTACCCATAGTATCCCTACTTCTCTGAGAACTTCACCCTGCCAAATCTAGAACTCTGAACCCATATTCTGAACTCATATTCTATAATCCAGCTCTATCAACACCACTAAACTCCCATTGAAGATCTGATGAAGGCTGGCTTGGACATCATCCAAATATAAGAGTTTTATCTTACTATACAAATAAATATAAACTGGCTGTCAGATCAGAGACTGCTTTGCAGTTTATGGTTCCTGGCTAATTCTCTAATTCTGGCTTATTTTTCTATAAAAATACAGCTACTGTCAATGGATACATTTTTGGGATCATAACAACATGGTTATTTCCAAGATGTGTATATACATTACTTAGCTAAAGGATGAAAAGATATGAGATTAAATCTGTACTACATGGTTTTCATGTCTATAAGAACCTGAATCTGTGTCTCATTATGCCCCTTTACTTTCAAGCTTTTCAGAAAGTCCACAAGACCAATTTATTTATACAAGTCTGCCCTAAGATCTCCAATTCTATTGTATGAGTTACACACTGGAAAATTTATTGGTGTTTTAAAAAAATACATTGTCTCCTTTTGTGAAAGTAAAGTGTCTTGCAAAAGCTCTGGCCTTACAGATAGAAAAAGATCAAAATAAAATAAATAAAAATCTAGGCACAGATAGCAACATGAATAATTTTTTGCATCAGATAATACTACCGGACGTCCTTGGATTGGGGCTGCATCACCCCAATGCTCTACAACATGGCCTTTATTTGGACTATCCATAAATTGTCATCTCTCAGTTATATAAAGGGGATGGGTGATGGGCTAAACACCTGACTCACTCTAGGCCAGACTCACCACATGAATTGGAAGATGTTAAGAAATTCACATGTGCTCTCATACACAAACATGCCCACACACAGACTTTTACCTGTAGTGTCGAGAAATGTCCTCCTCTACCTGAGTGACAAAGTCACATTTGGTACACGAGTGTTCTTTGCTTTCTTTGACAGTCAGTGGTCCATCCCCCCCTTGCAGGGTATTTGCTTCTTGCTTGACTTCAGACACCTGGGCTTCGTGTGTGGTTTCATAATGAAGCAGGAGAACGTCTACATCAGGGGTGGAGAAAGAGCACTGGTGACACTGATGCTTGACTCTGGTGCCTCCTGGCATCCCAGGGGACAAGTGCAAGAGCAAGAGAGCACAATGGGAACAATTACTTTTCCTGCAAGCAAAAGGATAAGTAATTTCTCCAAGGTGCTTTTCTGGACTACAGAGGCCTCGGGGACAAAACTGACAGTGCTTAATAGTACATTTATGAATGTTGTGTAGCTGCTGATAATGACGAAGAAGAGGTCCCACCACTATTACATTTGGGCCATGGCTCTTTGAGTACCTAAAATCACAAAACTGACAATTGTAGCTTGTCACCACGTGGTCCTCCACTCCTGAGCTGGAAAAGTCTTTCTTTTTGGCCATGCTAGAGCCCTTCTCGCTCTTTGTTGCTAACTCTTCATCTGCATTTTTGGTTACGTCATTGTGATTAATGACTGACCCCCTTGAGAGCTTGTCATTCCGATCTGGGTGAGGGCCCCCTGCCTGGTTCCCCCCATGGTGCTTGCTGTAATGTTCTAATAGTTTGAGAGAGCTGGAGGATTCACAACTAAAGCTGCAGAATTTGCACCAGTAGTAACTGGAGGCATCCGTACCGTTTTGTCTTGAGGATTCAAGGGGCTTGATGGGCACCGAATAGCCAACTGGAGTGTCATCTCCACATCTGATGGTGATCTTGTCCTGCCACTTCCCCAAATCTCCCATCTCACCCAATCGAACAGTAGGACTGGACTTGTTCGAGTTTCTGTCTGTGGCTTTGCTGCCTTCAGAGACAGGAAGGGAGGCCTTGATCTTGTTTGGATGGGTCTGCAAGAAGTGCTGTTCCAACTCAGTTGAAGAATTGCCCATGTAGGTGAAATTGCAGAACTTGCAGCGGAAATATTTGGTGGTCCCTTGGCAATCTGGAGTTTTGCGTCCAATGCCAATAAAGGTCCCACCTAAGGTTACCTGCAGAACATGAAAAGGAGAACAATTTCTGTAAGTGGTGTAGGACTTCCTGTTCCTTATATTCAGGGATATAAAACAATATAATAAAAAAGTTGGAATATTAATCTGGGAAACTGAACAATAGCAGCTTTTCTCTTTCAGTCTCCAAATAAATCCTTATCATTTAAGAGGCAAATTATTAAACTTTGTAGAGAGTAAAAGAGTTGCAGAAGAAGAAACCAATCTTAAGGAAAACTCAAATATGAATACTGTCTTCCCGCAAGTGCTTCAGCTAACTAGGGGGAGGGGGTGAAAGAAAGGAGGAATCAATTATTTTGAAGCATAGTAATTTCTGGAAGTTCAGAACAATTTAAAAAAAGCATAACTATAAGAAATGAAGAATGTTAGTAGTCGACAAGCTACATACCTAAAAAGGTAACCAGTAAAGGAAATTTTAAAAAATCAAGAGCTTTAAGATTATTTGCAGGTGGCAAAAGACTACATATGAAACCGGAAGAATCATAGTTCATATTTTCCTTTCTTCCTAAATAAGAAATATCATCAGTGCTGAACCTTCGTTCCTTCAATCAGATTGAAAAATCTACAAAAGAGGCCTAAAAAAGAAAGTTTCACCGGTGCCATTAAGAAAGCACAGTATTTTGCCTGAGATTGCTAAATCAAGAGGTTGCATTTGCATTTTCCATTAAATACATAAAAGTCAAAGAAATAGCTTGAATCACTACTGACACTTTGGCAAAAGTTAACTTTGGTTTGTGCTATGTTAAGGGCAACAAGTTGAAACTAATTTTAACCTATCAGGAGAGAAATACTGCACAGTGCATTTCCAAACACTAATTTTCTCAATGTAGCTGTTCATCAGAAGCCTTAATTTAGCAAAATATAGAAAGACCACAAAAAGCAAGGGACAGAGCTCATGATGTAACAGATACATTCTTTCTTTCTTTCTTTGGATGGAGGTCCAGCCCTTCGCATATGAGTGCCACTTTTTTCTTGCAATACTGAAACAACTTTACTGCACCTGAGTATCCGGGTTTCAGTTCACCAACATTTATTAAACAGAAAATCTATTCTCGTAAACAGGAAAATAGTCACTAAAGAAGAATAGCAATTCATGAAAAGCACAGATGGAAATGAGAAGATGGAGTGTGAATGGAAAAAAGATACAACCTGCAAATTTTATACAGTTACAACATCATCATATGTTTACTTCTTTGTCTGTGAAGGCAGCTTTCAAATTCTTCATACAAAAGCACACATCCATGCATGCATTTGACAAAATGAATTTTCTGAAGAAATAATGCATATGGAATTCTAATTTCCTTCTTAATATAAGTGCAGATTCCAGAAGCTGGAATCCAACAGTTGTGCCTCTTTAGTTTTTTCTCTGTATCCAAAAATACATTCCATAACAGATCATATTTTCATTCCTTGAACTGCAAAGTAAATTACTGTTTTTCTGGGCATTTCTCTCCCATAATGCATTAAGCAAATCACCCTTTACTTTAGCAGCTGCACCTCAAAGAAACCAAATGATCACTGTTCATTTTGGAATGGAACCATACGGAATGATTCAAATCCATAAAGAACATACAATGTAAACATTTTTAAATGCATATAATATAAACACCTTTTACCCGTTTAGCTAGAGAAAAGATGACATTTTCACTTACACTGCAAAATTAAACATGGCCCATCTAGCGAGTCATGATATTGATAAATTACACTATAAAAAGAACTGCGTTTGGCCCACTCTTTTAAGTAAACATGATTTCAAATAAACTGAGATTTTTCTCTACTATGAAGTTAATAAAGGTATCTTTAATAATATCCAACAACTCTGGAAATGGAATAAGCCAACTTAATAGATTTGTTCTCTTAAAAATTGAATCCTGACACTAAATAACAGTAACAATAACAAATGCTTCCTACCGCTGAAATACTTAGGGGTGACATCTTACATTATTCCCAGCCATGACCATGCAATCAGTTGTAAAGCAGATTCATATTCTGTATTAATATATTAAAATGAATTGTTTTGCATTTTGCTCTGCATAAACATTTTTTTTATATTTTTATTGTATTCATTACTTAAATTTATTATAGCCACGGAATTCCAATGGACTTGTGCAAAACTGAAATGGCCAAGTGGTCTAGGCAGATTAATACTTTATACTAGAATTTTGTATGGTTAAAAAAAAAGAAAAAGATCCATAACTGACAATTAAAAATTCTGCACGTAGAAGATTACTATAAATGTTGATTTGGAATATTTTCATATGACTCATGTCACTTTCAAAGGCAGAAATTAGTATTATTAATGTATCACATTATAAAAAACATCACTGTTTCATCAACCTCAGTGGACAAGGAATACTTAAGTATTTGCTGACCAAATACAACTACCGTATCCAAGATTTTTTCTGATTCATCTAAGTTCCCAAATATTGCCCTTGCTATCCACATCCATAGGTGTCTTTCATTATTGTCTATGAACATGAATGGATCATTGAGTTTATGGACTTACATAAAAAACCCAAGCTACTGAATATAAACAGATAACAAATCCCACACTCACTCACTGATGTTGTTACCTAGTTGGGAAATGAAACATCTGCAAGCAAACTACCAAGCATAGGACACCAAAAAGTCCACAGTTTAACACTGAACTACAGGTATTCTCTTCTATTCAAACAAGAATGCACTAAAAGCTTGCATTTTTCCAATCCATCCTGTCCTCTAAGTCATCTATTTATGTAATATAAGCACAATAAAATCCTTTTGGAAGCTGGCTGAATAAGCAAATGAAACGAGGGGAATCTAATTGAGAGCATAAAAGAATTAGTTTGTTGAAAATGACAATATAAAAAGACCACCTACAAGGACGGAAGAAGTATTTGAGTGATGCTGTGAATTAGATGAACTTTTGAGGAAAAACCAGATGACCTGAGCTAGGGAAAGACATGAAAGAAGGATACATAAATGCTGGGATAATATTGGTATCAACAGGAGAGTTGCCATCTTTTATAGAAATGTGCGCATTCTGATGAATGAAGAAAACCAGCTGGCCAGATTTTTGTGTTTAAGTTAGTGTGGACTTTTTCTTGCATCCCATGACAGAGAAGAAAGAAATGTGAGCTGTGTAAAGATATACATTAGCCAATCTGAAATGCTTTGGCTTTCCTCTTCAAGAATTCCTGGAAACTATTTTTGAAGACTGTAAGAACACTATCTAAATTCCCAGGTTACTAGAGATGGAAATAGGAACACAACACTATAATAATTGGATGTACTTTAAAATTTGTTGAAGATCATTCATGCAAATCTTGCTCAAGCAAAAACAGCAGCAGCTGATTCTTCTATATCAGGGGTGGGGAACTATGGCCCTTTTATGACTTGTGGACTTCAACTCCCAGAATTCCTGCTGGCTCAGGAATTCTGGGAGTTGAAGTTCAGAAGTATAAAGGGTCCATAGTTCCCCACCTCTGATCTAGATGGTGGTCTAGAAATGAAATAACCTCTAAGCCACCAGTCAAACCATTATGAGTTCTGCATTTTTCTTCAAATGATTGGGGACTTATGTTAGCTAGTTTATTTTGAAAGTCTTTGATCATTTAAAGAATAAAGTATGCCATGTAAATGTTTGTTTCAATATTAAATCATGCTTAAAATGTATATTTATAAAAATATAAAAGGAAAGCTAATATTCAGTTCAACATACTTCTATAGAACTATACTTCAGTAAATTGCAGCTAATTTACTAAATCCTCTTGGTTTTCCACCACCAATCTGTTCACAGGCATTGGCTACTTGGCCAGCAGCAGAATTAAAATTCCTCTCCGTCTCGCAACCAGTATCAGCTACAGACACTTCAATTTGCACTGAAACATATTGTGAATGAAATTGATCTTCACCAATGACAGACCTTTGCTGATTCTACTATTTAACCTGGAGGCTACAGTTACCCAACAGTAAGAATAGCCAGCCTTGTATCCTAAAAATATGTCCATTCAATGGTGAAAGATCAGAGAATTTTTTTATATATTTTGTCAAATTTATAGGGTTGCCCATCTCACATAAAGTGATTCTGGAAAGCATATAATAAAACCAGCAATTAAAACTTTCCATAAAATCAATTAAAAACAATAAACGTAAGTACAGCATTCCCCAGGTTTGCTGGGAAAAAAATTAAATGCTTTCTGGAAGATCACAAGGATTGGGGCTAATCTAATCTCAGGAGGGATGACAGTCCAGAGGGCAGAAGCCACAGCAGAAAACTCTCATCTCTTAGGTCCCATCATCTCCCTCCCTTGGAGATAGGACCTGCCACTTGCCTTCCTGCCAGATCTGATGGGATGGGTAGTTGTAATAGGGAAGAGGTTCTCTCTCAAATAACTTGGCTTTATGCCTTGTAAGACTTTAAAGGTCAAACTGAACATCCTGAATTGGACTTGGAGGCAAACATGGGAGTTGTGGACCAAATTAATTGGAATGTAAAGAAAGTAGGCAGAATCTGCACTCCAAGCAGGTTTCCAAGGTGCTGAACCGGCAGTTCCCAAAAGTCAAAAAGGCCAGCAAAAATTGTATTACTGTCCAACCTAATTATAATATAGTTATAGCATTTTGCTATAAATACAGTACAATACAATACAGTACAATACAATACGTGTGGGAGGGCTTTAATCTTATCTCAACATTAAAGATAGGTGACATTTTTAATTACTGTATCTACACCTAACAATTAAGAGAGAAGCTCCAACAATCACAATGGATTAGATGTTGCAAAGTGACAAGGCTAAGATTTCTCTTTTTTTTCTGGAGGGATTTTATTCATTTATTTAACTGTGTAAACATCCTACTAGGATTATAATAGTTTATTTTTTCCCCACTGTGATGGAATCTCTCCGGGGAAGTCAAAGAAGAAAAATGACCATTGCAAAAGAAACATTAAGCCAGGAGAGATAGGGGAAGCCTAAGAAAGAAACTCAGAGCATCTCAAACTC